GTATATTATTTTTCATTCAATGGATGTAAATTTTGTTTGAAAACATTTTACCGTTTATATTATTTATTTAGCCTACAGTTAAAAAAGCGAATCATCGACTGATTACTTGCCATTGGTTAGGGTTTCATTATCATGTTAATGAAACCAATCAAGAAAACAAATTCATCAGCATTGATATAGGTACATATTTTTGGTTAGTGAAACATAAAGAATCGGAAACTACCTCCAGGGTTTACTGTTATATATTCTATCTTTACTATCTATATAGATTGTATATATATACAATGCATGTTGGGCTATATTATTTTAACCTTTTTTCCTTGGAGCAACAGACAGTAGATACCTGGTTAAAATCTACTCCAAACAATTTTATTTTTCCGCCCATTGGAATTTGTTATAGTAATTAATGAAAGGAATATATGTATTGCCTGTACAAACCTATTTCAAATTTTATTCCCAGGTTATTCTCTAGAGTAACTGTTAAGGGGATCCAGGCTTCAGAAAGTGAAAAAATTGCCAAAATTCACTTCTTTTTTTTATAGTATTTTATTGTTATTTGGTTATTTATGTACAAGAAAATATAAGTTTTATAGGTATCCTACACGTTTTTCATAACAAAAAATATATTTTCCCCAGATACTACATGCGCGCGTCTTAGTATTTTCTAGGACTTCGATCGCGATTCCCCGAAAGTTGTGGTTTTTAGTGTTTTGTAACAGAAAATTTGATATATCTCAGCCAATTTTTGTCCTATCATGTTGAAATTTTTACCAGATGTTCTTTATAGTATTTACAAACTTTGGGGTATAATTATTAATATAAGTCAAATAGTTAAAATAATAAAAAAAATTTTATTTGAAATATAGTATAAGAATTTTTTTGTTTTTCAACCTTTATAAAATAAAAACTAATTATCCTACAAACAAAGTAATACCCAGGATTTCAGTAAGTGTACATAGCTACAAAAAGACACCTAGTTGAACAAAATTGATCAACTATTTTATGAGTTATATCAAAAACAAAAATGTGTTACGTTATGATACATAAAAATACATAAAATGGTACTGTGGTACATAGAGTGGCTACAACAAATAAAATAACAGTTTTTAGGCCCATTTGATATAATAAATATCTTAAAAAAATGATAAACATAAAAAATTTAAAAAATGTATTTTCTGAAGCCTGGATCCCCTTAAGGTTATTCCACTCGATAAAATCATAGATTAAACACTACAATTACGTGTCAAATTAAATGTTATGAAATTTAAAACAAAAGTTTTGAATAAATTTTCAACATATGTTTTGAAATAAAAACAAAACAGAAGTTTTCTAACTAATCTTGCATCGTTGATTATTTAGTCAATGGGGCTATTTCATGTTAAACATTCCTTCAGCACAACAATAACCTACTAATGTGAAGAAATGTAATCAAAGTAAAATAATTTTGTAAACTTCGTGAACATATGTTTAAAGAAACCAAATCTTAAATGTTTCAGCCATTCTACTTCCATTTACTTTGATTTTAACCATCTCCCACGATTCTACTAAATTTCATGCGCTTGGCTAATTTACATACAAATACACAAATTTGCAAATTGCACAGTAAAATTAATTTCAACATTCTAAGACATAACGACAAAAGTCTCAATTGTAGGTAACGTCATCCCTGGTTTTATATAGTATACAGTACATTGCAGAATTTACTGGCAAATGAGTTAAATCCAAATGTAATATTGCTTACTGGCTTAGATGAATCACGATCAGCTGTATACTATTGTATACTGTATAGTATTGAGGTAAACAAAAATCAACAGACAAATGGCTTCTAATGCTATTCTTATGGAGAACATTTTACGTTATATTATTGACTAAGTCAAAGGTTTTATCTAATTTTGTGTTAAAATTTGGGGAATTTCACTATTTTTCCGGGATCGAGACCTTTAATTTGAACCCTCTCCCGTCGTTCTACGACTACCCAGTCGCCCACAATTTTGACGCAAAGAATCGGCTTTCGTAATTAATATATAGATAGATATTTAATTTCCACAAAATCAGTTAATGTAACCAATGCGTTTCGTTGAATTGAAAAACAAAGAACACAATTAAATTAAACAGCTGATGTAAACAATATTATGTTCTTCGAAAGGATAACATGGGAACTTAAAATGCCACTGTGGCAGAGGCCAAGGGACTTTTTCAAAAAATTTAGGCCAGTTTGCAAATCTACGCAACACGCTCTTTCCAATGAGACGTCAGTGGATAAAATCGGTTAAGAAATGGTGGAGGATTCAACCGACAAACTTCGTGTTCGCGTATTAATTATATAGATTTCATATGTGCATGAAATGTTGGTGTGAAACCAACTTGTATAACTTTAAGCTAAATGGTTTAAGTTACCTGGCTTCGTCAAGTGATCCTTCTTCAGTATCACACTACTATAGTTTCGGACTTGAAAATAAGTCCATCTTCAGAAAACGTCAATAGGTCATTGAATTGAATTGAATTGAATTGAATTGAAAATAACTTTATTCATAAATCATACAAGTATGTAAATGGCGTCAAAATTCTTAAAACTACTTAAACTTACAACATAATATCAGCTGTACAGTTCATCAAAATTATACAGTACTTTTTCTGTTAAGTATATTTTAAGCTGTGATTTAAATTTTTTACTATCATCAATTTTCCTCAACCCCTCTGGAAGCCCTTCCAAAAATTTTCTTCCAGCACATGACGGTTTTTTGTTATAAAATTCCAATCTATGGGCATCAACAGCAATTTTGTTTCTATGCCGGGTGCCATATTCGTGATTATCCCCTAGTTTAGGTAACATACTTTCAGACAAAAGATTTTTAGTCAAAAGAACGGTATGGAAAACATAAATGCCGTACACAGTCATTATACCCATGGCTAAGAAATGATCACGTACGGAAACATCCCAGTTTAAATTCAACATTAGTCTTAATGCTCTTTTCTGCAAAATTAAAATTCTGTCCAAATTTTTCTTTGATGTTCCACCATAAACACTTATGCCAAATGATATTGCGGATTCAATGAAAGCAAAATAAAGCTTTTTCAAAATATCTGTTGAACAAAATTTAGACATTCTATAAATTGCATAAATTCCAGATGTGATTTTGCTGACAACATGGTCAACATGGGAGTTCCATGAAAGATTTTCATCAACTAGTAGGCAGTCGCAGCAGTCGAATCCGGGCATAGCGCCTAAAGTTTCACGAACGCAAACCGCGCAACGAGTAGCTAAATGAGCCGTAGAGTAAGTGAGCCATCTAATATTTTGAAGAGGGTTCACTTACTCTACGGATCATAGTGCCAATGAACTGTAGAGTAAGTGAGCCATCTAATATTTTTCTGCAGGCTCGTATAGTATACGAGCCTATTCCTATAATTTATATTATTCATTATTTTGGCTCGTATACTATACGAGCCGATTCCTAAATTATCAAATAATTCGTAAGCTTGGCTCATAGTCACTATGATCTGTAGAGTAAGCGAACCTTCCTACTGTATTTTTAAATATAATACACGAGGCTCATAGGCACAATGATTCGTAGAGTAAGTGAACCCTCTTCATTTATTTTTTATTTTCGATAGGCTCGTATAGTATACGAGCCTGTAGTGCAAGTGAACCTTCAATATTATTTAAAAAGCTCGTATAGTCTATGATCTGTAGAGTAAGTGAGCTGTCCCCTGAGAAACAAGTATTAACTTGATAGATATTTATATTGTAAAGAGCTATACAGTTTTTAACTGTGACTTTTACGATCTGCGACAAACAGCTTCAGCCAAAAAAAAAACATCGATACCAAAACATCGATGGTAGTAAAACATCGACTTTCTAACATCGTTGGTAAAAACATCGAACATCGACCTCCGAACATCGATATTTTGAAAACATTGATGTTCGATACCGAACACTAACGGAGGGCGAGCCTTTCAAGACCGGAAAATGCCGCGCTTCTGCGCATGCGCTAGTAACTGGTGGCGTAGCAGCAGCTATTTCAGAAAGTCACGGTCACTAACCACTAACTAGCGTCGTTGTCGTAGTATTTATCTTGACTGCACTGCAACTGCAACTAGTTCCTCATAATTATTATTCATATCGTTTGTTATTCTTTATGTTATGATCGAGTTATGTCTGAGTTGAAGTTGGGGTTAGTTATTGATAGATTTTGATTGCTGCTGTGTTGCGGAGGTCATTTATCATTGATGATTTTGTGCTCCTTCTTCAATGCGAAAATTCTGAGAAAAACGAGTAATGGAAGACATCAATAACACTGGAGTACTTTGTAGTTTATGTGGAAAAGTTTATTTTTAGTTTATGGACGAGAAGTACAGAAGGATTCCAATTAATGAGCCAGCTATGTTCAACAAGGCAAGGCCAATAAAATAATTTGTTTTATTCACTAGCGCTTTTGAATGGAAACCTAGTTTCTGAAAGCGCTAGTGAATAAAATAAATTATCATGTATTAGCATTTATGGTTAGGTTTATACTCAATGGTATTAGCCTTGTTGAACATTTACATTTAGTTATACATTCCATTATAAGCAAGATGCCAATAATCCTCAAAAAGCTTAGACCATTAAAAATTAAATGAGAATTGGGATCTTCTCTTTTGGAAAACATGTTTGGATACAATTGAAGATAGATAAATAGATGATAACGGTAACGTAGCCCACAGAAGTTACTTAAAATTTATTTTATAAAATAAAGGAGGTGCCAGAGGTTACAGTAAGTAAAGTAACACATACATAAACATAATCTGTAAAATTCTTCATTCAGTTACAGTAATTAAATGGTTTGGAGTTTAGCGCGGGAGAACCGTTCCAGTTTCAAGTAGATTGTTGCAAGAGTTGCAGTGGAGATACTAGTGTGATTTTCTGAAACAGCTGCAGCTGTTACAAGTGTTACGAATAACGCTTACTTGCGCATGCGCAGACGCGCGGCATTTTCCGGTCTTGAAAGGCTCGCAATGGAGGGACATAATAGTATCGTCTGCTTCTGGTCTTTGTTTTTATTTATATTTATTGTTTATTTCATATTTCTGTTTCACTAGGGTAATAACTTTACCACTTTTCCAACAGACTATTTTTGCATCGTAAAAGAGACTCAAAGTACTCTGTACAACTTCAACAGTTCCATTTTGCAAATAAATGATCATTGTTACTATCCAAAATGAATTCCATTTGCACACAACCGGAATCTTCAAAAGATAATATTTCATTCATTAAAGGTAGGTCTAGGTCCTATTTAAAGGAGACTGAAAGCAAAGTGACATCTATTTCGTAGTTACCTACCCTATGCTTATTTAGTTCAACCATAATAACTTAATTTGTTATTTTTTTCTTTTTGCGAGAATAAAATTAATAGGCTTATACTAGCCGTTAACTTACCTATTATGTCTTGCTCGTCTGAATTGTTCACGAAATGACTTGGTTTCAGGTTAATATCAAATTACTCCAAGATAGCAGAGATAAACCTAAGATAGGCCTATAGTGTGATTGTTGACGGAAAGCGGCTGGCTGAAGGGTCGACCCTATTCACACACACAGACGCAAGGGATTAGGACGGACGTGGGACGGACCATTGTCCTGCCGCGCGAGTCATCACTGGCTCACGGAAATTAAACTATCAATTTTTGTAATTTTACGTTTGTTATAAAATCTGGTAACGCTTTTGACTTCAGCTCAAAATGCTTAGTAAAATGATACCAAACAATATATATTTTGCTTATAAAGTGTAAAAGTTACGAATATTTTAACACGTTTTTATTAGCTAACTACTTGTCATAATCATTTCGTGTTTGGACTCATTTTTCATTGAATTAAACAAAAAATTTATTAAACACTAACCATTTTACTGTATATCTAACATCAAACGAATTGCAATTTTGAGGTATCCTACAACAGATGTTATATTTCTACTTAGTGAATAGGGGATCTGGGCTTTCAGGCAATTAGGACGGTGGTGAGTGTGCGTGCGTGAGTCGGGTCCCTCGCAGGTAGGGCTGAGCTCCAGCCGCACTCCGGTAAAAATCAGACTATAGGTCTGACGGTCTGCTTTAAGTTGGCTCAGGCCAGGTTAAGATGGTGTATCGTCTTTCTACTGTATTAGCCAATCACTAGATTACTGCAAGCCATCCGGTCCATTGTTCATTAAGTTACTTTTAAGTTAGGACAAACGGTAACTTAGACCAGCAGTAAGTTATGGGTCGCGACCTAACTTACTGGTACATCACGACTTGTAGTAACACCGTCCATACACTACAGATAAGACAAAATCATGAAATAGACCTTCCCTTTTGTAGGCTCTCAGACATGATTTAAAAGTAGTAATAATATTCATTATCTCAAAACATTAATTGAATCCAAAACATGGTTGTTTTTATTGATAACAGCTTGCCCAAGGCCCTGAACCCTTGAAATAATAAAAATTTAGCACTGTCTTAAAGACATGGCTATTTTAACATCCTGGACTATTATTTCTAATAACTGATTAACAAATTCTAGGGTTGATCCACTGCCACAAGTTTATGTAGGCTATCTAAGGTAAATAGTTGTGATGCAAACATATCAGTGATTTAGGCTTACTTAGGGGCTTATTTGATTTGTTATGGTACTGATACGACACATCTATCTAAAGGGCTATGCTATCTGGCATGCTTAGCTGGTTTCGGTAAAGAAAAAGGTAATATGAAATAGTGAAAAATACGGTGTAGTCATAATTTAAGGTTGATAGCCTACAATTGTAAATAATGATACCGGTAGTCTTTAGTTCTCTTAACATAAAAGTTAAGAGGTTGTTTTACCTTGATTTTATCTATAAAGATTCCTAATACCTCCTCTAAGGGAGAATACGATAGTTTCTAGAATAATTATCAATCTTACTTATATTGAGGTTGTTAAAACACTAAACACGCACTCACAAACATTTAGACAAAACATAAAAAAAATATTTGACCAGGCTACGTCACAGTAAGTTAGTTGAATATGTATTTTTTATGTAATAGGCTAAATATATTAGCTTAGGATATTTAAAGTTCCTGATGAGTTAAGTTATTGTTGATTTATGTAAAATTATTTACTACCTGTACGATTAGATAACTTGGCTCTTAATTTTTCTATTTTTTACAGAAATTCAGATGATGATGTTTGGGTTGGGAGACAGTCCTACGCCTCTGTTGACCACTGCCTCTGTGATTGAGGAGATAGTGCTTCGACAACTGGTTTGCATCATCACGCAAGCTGTGGAAGTGGCTGACAGTAGAGGGGTGGAAGGCATATACCCCCAGGATATTCTATTTATTTTGCGCAAAGATGTTCACAAGCTGCAAAGAATGATTTCTTATATAGGTAGTCCTAGGTTTAATCAATAAAACAGCCACATTATAACATTCTACTTATTAATATTAACTTTATATACCGTACTTACCACTATTTTATTCAAAATGTGTTTAACGACATATATAGGTTTTGTTTTCAATTTCAAGTTTGAACAACGTTTCAGGACAACATCTCAAAATATGTCGTAAAAAGCTGAGTAGGGCCTTAGTCGTTTTAATTATTGTTTTCAATATTCAAATTGATCTAAAAGAATACTGGTAATTTGACTTCTACATAATTGTCTTAACTGTTAGTGTATATCTTATTATATTTGTTGAATCACTTGTGACCCATCTATTTATTTTTAGGTTTCAAGGAGATGAAAAAAAATTTGACCAGTTCATTAGGCGAAGATGATATGACGAGGTTGGAGGATTTAGTTCCATTAACACCAGATCCCAGCAAATCCAAACGTAAGGAAATATGCTTGCAGTTTCTACTGTCTATAGGGATCAACCTAGAAGAAGTGACTACTGTTGATTCTGTCAAGATGGAGCGATTACGCATGGCAGATTACCGTACTCAGATGATGTCTCAGAAGTAAGTAAATTTAGATTTAAGGTTTGGCTTGTGGTAAGTTAAGGCCTAATCTTATTTTGTTTGTAGGCCTAATACAAAAATATTAGGCCTATATAATTTTGTTTTGCCATCGATTGAGCACAGTAGTATAAAATATCCACGCTGCAGCAAGCCTGCAGACTAAGTGAAATTCAATTTGTGAGTTGTTGGCCCGTCCTACGTACGGGAATTGAGTAGTCAACTAAAACAGAAGTTATGTCAATATTTCCATTTATAATCTAAGCAGAGTTTAAGCGGTTAAACATTTATTGTAAACAAAAAGCTGCCAAGATGAATTAAAACAGTAAACATTGTTATTTTTCTATTCTTTCCTAAAAAAGTCGAACAGAAAAATAATTTGCATAAACTTTCCTCTGAAGACTCTGGGGCAGAGCCTCCATTTGTATACATCAGTGGTTATAGAATCCTATTTATTTAATATAATCAATGGCAAAATCACAGAATAATAAACTAACCTGATATAGTTCAAAAGAATATTTTTATAATCAACCAGCTGTTAGTTAAAATAAATTATATTGCACTAAAACAAACTTAAAATTTTAAAGACCGCACTAAAAAATAAATTAGAACATCCAGCATTTTACCATGTATATTTAAATAATCTTTAATCCTGTTACCGATTAAATGAACGTATCAATGAGTATAGCATTACACGTAGTATAAATAAGTCAACCCGATGTATGCCATTATTATCCAAATGCTGAATTTGTGTCACACACGCTTAATGTTTACAGCTGTTGCGTCAAGCAAATGGTATTATACGAAAAGCTAGTTTAGAATGTTAGCGTCGGCTGCTAGACTTTTTTAAATTTTAAACTTATTTTCTAAAAAACTGAAACCCCAAACTAAAATTATGGCTTCGACATTCCCTAGTTTTCAAAATTATATTTCTTTCAACACAAAAATCATGAAAATCCGTCAAGTGATTGATTCAGAATTGTGAAATAAAAAAACCCTGTCACGTTTTAATATATATGATTACGGTTACACATTTAAAAATTGCACTTCGATTAATTAAATCAGTTATGTAAGGCACAATGTTTTTAATCTCACTTGCTTAAGTTTTTCTTACAAAACGTGATCGGAAAAGGTTGTAATATTAGTAAGCAGCATTATTAATGTAAACATTTCAGTGACAGCTTAAAAAAATAATCTTGATCCAAACAGCTGTTTGTTATATCATAGATGATGTATTTGGTAAACATTGGGAGAAAACTTGGCAAAAATCGCACAAAATTAGGTTTTTTAACATCCATTATTTTATTTACAAAGTAGCCTATATTTTAATGGCTAAAGACACTCTCACCAGTCCAGTAAATACATTCAAATTGTTTGAATCTTGATAGGTACTCTAGATGTCTGGGAGTAGGCCACGTAATTTGGCGTTAGGGCACAGACACAATGACAGACAGACAAACAGACAGACAGAAATTGAGATAAGACTCTTTTAGGGCCGCTTTCCCCAAATCAAGTTTAACTTAATCTCGGTTAACTTTAATCGGTGGGTTAAACTTAGGATGGCTTTCCCCACTATTTTGTCATGAAAGTTTAGTTTAACCCTGGTTTAACCTAGATTTCTTTGCAAGCAACAATGTTGGCAACACTGTTATGCAATTTTGTCTGCAATATTAGCTGTTTAGCCCCCCACTATGACATATCTGTCATTAATTTTCTCGTGTTTTCGTTATTTGTATTACGTTTCGTTTTATTGTCTCCAATTGTTTACATTAAAAAGAAACATTTTTATTTGCAGGCAACTGCTATTATATAAGCATTTCGTTACTTGTGTTTAATAAATCTCAAACTTAATCAAACAGTAGGCCTATTGCACGCATAAAATAACTGCATTAATTACAATCATGTGAAAATAAAATGTTGGGAAAGACGCAAAATTAATGTTTGTGGATTAAAAACTAGAGCCTAACAGCCTAATCTTTGTAATGCCAGGCATAGGCTTACTCAGCATTAGATACGTTCGATCAATGTTTCTAAACTAAATTTAAGTTTTAGGCCTACCACAGTAGTTGTTAAATCAGTAGTAATTATGAAACACATGATAATAGGCTAGTGGTTAGGCCCGAATGTTAACTAATATTTACTTTTGTGTAATGTAAGAATCGTGTTAAAATAAAATCAAACCAAAAGGCTTCTTATGAGCGATTAAACTTTCCAACCAATGTTGCGTTTCTGTGGACAAGGTAACCTATCGATTGTACACAACTACAATACTACCTACAGAAAATATAATAATTTAGGCCTACTTTACGCATTAAAAAGCCGTAAAACCATTATATCTGTTGCCTTATATCTTTAAATTTGAAATAGTCATGAATTAATTGTCTACATAGGTTCTGGTTTGCTATTTCTTAATTTATTTCCAGTTCAGTTTGTTTTAGGTTATGTTTGACAAGACTAACGTCAAACAAGGATATTTTTTGTCATTGCCGTCTGCCGAACGTAACTAGTCAGCCAAGAGCCAATCAAAATCCAGCTATTCTTCTTCTCTTCTGGTTTAACCCATGGATTGCCCGTTAAACCAGCCTCAACCGGAGGGTTAACTTAAACCTAGTTTAACCCTCCCAGTGTTACTTGACGAAAATTTGACAAGCAGCACACTTTGTGTAGTGTTACTTGTCGAATTTTCGACACGCAGACATCGTTTACGGCGAAGGCTCTATAACTGACTGAATCGGATTGAACTGGATCGAGTTAGGTATCGTTCTTTCCGTTATATTCTAAGCTTTCTCCAGGTCTGTCTCTAAGCGCTGTATGGTCTCCGAGCCGATCGTAATTGTAGCAGGCAGCTGACGTGCGTATTTGTAAATAGCTAGGTTACCCTCGGACCGATGACTGATGTGTTTTATTACGTTTATCATAGTTTTAGTGTTAAAAATCAAAAGTAGTGATATACGTGGTGCATTATAAGAAGGTTTAAGGGATTTTGAAGGGCTGGTTGATGATCCTAAAGAAGTAGGTAGTGATATTGATGTAAATTATCAGCCAGATTCCTAGCTATGGTTAGGCTATGCATTCTTAGCTAAACGCTATGTACTGAAATCTGTTTTTTGCCCATAACTTATTTATTTGCAAATCTACTTCCTTATATTATTATATATTTGTAATCCTCATTAAATTTAGAACAAAGTGGCTATTTTCAAATTTTTATAGGCCTATAATTTATACAATTTCATTGAGCGCAAACTTATTTTTTTTTTCAATTTTTCAAAAATATTTTTTTTTACCTAAAGATTTTTTTTTTAAACAAATGTTCCTTATGTTTTATGTATAATATTGAAGCCCATGATTTTCCAAAAAAAATGGTATATAGAACAGTAGAATTAACATTGTTTTTAATCTTCTCAGATCCGTTTTAATAAAACCTTGCAAATGCGCAAAAAATAGGTGGACATTAAGGCCTAAACTATGGACACTCGGAGGGTTAAACGGAGAAATTATTTTGGGGAAAGTGGATCTGAGGTTAATCTAGAGTTTAAACCACGATCAGAGTTAAACTTGATTTGGGGAAAGCGGCCCTTAGGATATTAGACGTAAAAATAACCAAAAACTACACGATTCTACAGACAAACTATAATTTGTACAGACAAAACTGTAATTTTATTTATAGAAATAACCATAAAAATGACATATTTATTTTCTATTTAAATACAATTAGATTTAACAAGTAAGTTACGGTACTCAGGATTGCTGCTACAGGGAAGGTAAAAAGTATTTTTTGACCAAACAATATAATAGCATAGGATGAAATCTATATATTTAACGTTTGAGGTGTCAAATTAAAGGTATTTTCACTTATATGTGCAAATATGTCTCAGAATATTAAGAAAGGGCATCACTTCAGTACAATTAAGGGTTAAATTTTGGGAACGGTGGCGCTATCTGTTCACATTAGATCAAAGCATCAAACTCAATTCCCTTTGTTTACAACTAAACATATGGAGGTAGTTTGAAATAGTTTGTAAGGTTAACCACAGACTGTATTACTTCCGGTGGGGCACACAGAAGATTTCTCAGGTGCCGTTTGACGTCACTAACTGCTGACGTCACTAACTGCTGCGTCTGAAGAAACAGACAATTTTATAATTTTCTATTATTAAATTAAACTGTCATAACCTAACCAAACTAACCAAAGGTGCTGAAAATGGAAAAATCGAATAAAAGGTTTACTAATCTAAAAAATAGTTTTTTCATAAAATAAAATTATAATTGCCTAAAAATCAATTTTATAATTTTTTAATTATAAAATTAAACTGTCATAACCTAACCAAACCAACCAAACTTGCTGATATGAAAATTGTTGATAAAAAGTTAGTGCCGCCGGCGGGATTTGAACCCGGAATATTTGGATTATCAGCCCGCAGCGCTATCCACTGCACCACCGAGGCCGATGGCTCATACCGTATCGTTGCGGTAATGGTGTTCCCTCAAAGTGACGTCAGCAGTTAGTGACGTCAAACGACACCTGAGAAATCTTCCGTGTGCCGTTTCGGTATTACTTCCAGAGTAAAGCCTATTTTTATTTTAACATCTGTTAATTTAAATAAAGAGTTTCTCCTAACAAGTACAGGGTGGGGCAGCATAACTTCCTTTTTTTAAAGCTTAATAAAACGCATTGTATGAGTCAGACAAACTTTATTTGGTTTTTACAATGTAAGTACATTCCTAAAGTTTTGTTTTACGTAGTTTTGAAGAGTAAATCATGCAGGTGTTGTCCCCCATTCTAGATACATTGAGTATACCGATTTTTTGCGATTTCTAGTGTCTTCCATTACCCTTTCAAGCATAGCAGGCGTCATGTTGGCAATTTCTTCCTGGATCTTGTTTTTTTTTAAATCTTGAAGGGTCCCTGGGCTGTCCACATAAACTCGGGACTTCAAAAAACCCCATAGAAAAAGTCGCAAGAGGAAAAATCAAAAGAGATTGAGCCGGCCATTGCAAATCGCCCCTGATTAACATAAGGCGTTTTGACAGTTCCTGCTCAATCACCATCTTTTATGGATGGAATTGTAGGTCATCATGGAGAATTCTCGTTACAGAACGATTGGAAAGTCCAAGTGGAGACTCATGTTTGAGCGCACAAGACAAAAACACGCTTCTGTTTGAGCGCGTGTCTTGGTGTTTGCAACATTGAAGCTCTCACTGCCTCAATGTTCTCAGTGAACTAATGGGACTCCAGTTTTTCGTTTTGTAGCACTTGCAGTTAGTCTAAACGTATTGAACCACATAACAATTGATTTGCGGTCCGGTACAAGGGCCAATGGGGCTAAATAAAACTGATTCTGAAAGGCGCGCTGGGTTACGATCACTGAACATCCACTCAAAAGGTAGGCCTGATCGGCAAACAAATGCTCTTCACTGTTCCAACGCCTCTCAAACGAGACTGCTAGCTCTTCGCTATGACATGAACAACCAAAATGGCGCACATTTAAAAAAAGGAAGTTATGCTGCCCCACCCTGTATAATAACAAGTATATAATAACAAGTATATAAAAATTGGAACGAATGGTGTTTTTGGCCTCTGGGGACATCAAAATGAAAAAGTAAATTGGTCCCGGGCCTACGTCTTACAGTGCCAGCTATGGTAATAGCTACTTCCCTATAAGGAAATTTGCTAAAATTGGGCATTCTCATGTTTTAAGTGTAAAAATTTGAAAAAAACAATGATTGAACCAATAATACTCTGTTCCAATGACCCAATCTTTCTGGTTCACAAACTCATCCAAATTTATCCCTCCCTACACCTTCAAGTCAAATTTTATAAAATCGGACCAAAATAACTTGAGATATTGCAGAGATATATTTGTTCAGGAACACACATATATTATATTTATTAAAATTTGAACTGTAGTGTTTTTAGAGTCTGTAGACATCAAAATGAAAAAATTAAATCGGTCCTGGGTCAGGTCGTGCCTCTTATGGTAATAGCTACTTCCTTGTAGGGAAATTTGCTATGAAGTTATATGTTCTACCCAAATGGAGCACAGCAATATAGGCTGGGGCTCTGAACCTGAATCAATCACTGAAAATTATAACTGTAATACAATAATGCCACATTGTCAGTGATCATTGGTCAACTCTCAGCAGGTGAACAAACTCTACAACACAGGGTAGAACTGTTTGATCAGCCAAATAGGTCAGGGGTCGGCCAACTACAGCATAGGGGTTTTTTTTTTCAAGCCCTCGGTTACACTCCAAGACGGCACTGACGTAGTAAAATAGGTGTAGCACCACTGGCATAGACCTTGGACGGTTATTGTTCCTCAGTCCTGATAGCTGGGTCATAAACAATGCAACAAAACTGTCTACAAATTGATATTTGTTTTTTTATGGCTTCATCTCTTGCAATTGCACGGAAGATGATCGTTTTAGCGACCGAGGGAGATGATCACGATATGCTGTGATCGCGGGAGTAAAGCAATCGTCTTTAGTGATTTCACCAAAAGTTTATTGCCCAGTAAAGAATGATTGCTTTGAGATAAACAACACAAAACTTGAACAAGTATCTGGAGAAGATTTTTATTTTGGTGTGGATACAGTTAACACTGAAGATAGTTCTAAGCAATTAAGTTACACTTTCCTGATACATTTACTAACAATCTTAAAGGAATTGGTCTACCAATCACGACTTTACTTATGTGAACAGACATTTTTGTAATTGAACTAACGTACATTAAATACAAGTTGTATAGCTATAGACTGACCGGCTAGAACTAAAAAAAAAAAATTTTATTATTATCTATTATCAAATATTGAGGTGGGGACGCCACCTAGGGTAGGTATGTATTTTAACCCAAATATGAGTGTATTCTGAAAGTTAATTAAATTTGGTGGAATGAAATTTGAACTATAAATAAAAAGAGTTGAAATTTTAAATATAATGCATAAAGATTTATTGCAGATTCTTAAGTTTTGTTCAATAAATTATATTAGAAGTTCATGAAGTAAAAGGACCTATTCCTACAAAAATGTTGCCGTGAATTAATTGTATATACTGTAACCCAACTGTTCATAAGTTTGCCGACTCCTGATTAATGGCATCACAAAAAATAGACGGAGATATTGTAGATGGTATTTTGGCTAAAACATTTTCTTACTTAAAATGTGTAAAGCAATTTGTCACCTGAGTTTTTGATTTATTTTTGCAGAAGCTTTGAAGATTACAATGTGTCAAGGCGGGCCACATTTTTGGGTGCTAAGTTAAACAACGGAAGGTTTTTAGATTGGTTGCGGCTTCTAGCACCTGACTGTCCTGTACACAAGTTAAAATCATTCAGTGTGGAGATGTTACTGTACTTAGCGAAGGAGACGGTTGCTCAGCTTGTAGACCTTGCACTGCTGCTACGGCGAGATGCGTCTGTGTCTCCACTGGACCCTTACAGTCGAGCGCACCGCACTACACTCTCATTCGAGACCTTCGGTACCTCTCAGCGACAGGTAATAGACATAACAGTCATTTTTTGTTGCAACAGAATGTTATTCATTTTTATTTATGATAAGTAAATTCTCTTATGATAAGTCTGAATCAACTAATATAATGCAGAAAGATGAACTCGACTAAGAATTGGGTAGGAGGTGCATGAATTCCCACGAAAGCCTTCTCTAAAATGTGCTCTTGTTAGTTGTTTTGTAGTGGCCTATTGTTCTTTAATGTGGTTTTTGTAATGCACTGCACTTAACTATGAGGATGTTTGCACAAACCAAATTTATATTTCAGCATCTGATGACTTGGTGCAAAGGTTAATCTCCCTCAAATCAGATCCCATCATTCTTAATGGTGATTCGCCTATTGGGTCTGATGATGATTGGAGTGTCCAATCAAAATCGATCACCACTTACCATCTTTTTTGTGTATTTACCGTCTTGTGAGTAACAGTATAAGCGTAAATATATGTTTTAAGTGTTATAAGACGTTTATTTTATTTACTTTCCGTAAAATACATGCGTAAATATATCATATCTAAAAAATGCACAATTAAAGTATCTCTTACTTTAAAAACATCTATATTTGAAGACCTAATCCAAACCCATGTAAATCAGTTTAACATTGTTATCAAAAACTTAAAATCTATAAATTAATACGCTACATGGAAAGTTTGTTCCCGATAAGGCTTTTTTTATTTTAAGAATACCCCCACATTCAGGGGCAGTTCTGAATAAGCTCCGTTTGCTTCTTGCGTGGAAAGTGGAGGGGGTAGCATCGCCATTCGCGTCACAGGCCACTAGGTCAGTTGGCGTCCAGCCGTGGTAGTGTAAAGGTCGTCTGAGTACTAGTTTATTGCCGTAGAGTGAAATGAAATGAAATAATATTTTATTTCCCAACTACTTCGTATAATTCATGGTATTTACATAACTATTATACAATCCTTAACTTAAAAAAAAAATAATTACCAAAGGATACTATATCTAAATGGCACAAAGAGAAAAAAAAAATACCTTATCAAATTATAAGGAAAAGGTCTACATAGGCAGGGGCCTGTGCGTAGACATGAGTTGCGGGTAATTTGTATAGTGGGAAATTTAATCTTGAGCGTAATTGTTAGCACGTCTTGTTGGATATAAATTTTTGTCTTGCTTGGAACTGGACTACGATATTTTTCTGAACTAGGAAAATCATGATTTCTCTTCAAAATCAAGTGATAGGTGGAGTGGAGGGGAGTGGTTAGTGGTGTATTAGTGGCGAGACACCTTTAGTCTGATTTTGATACACATTTAGTATGTTATAACCCTTTAAATTGTGAACAAAATGGTAGAAATCCCATTCCTGTAAAAATTAGGGTTCAAAAGTTATTGTAACTTATTTAATTTTCCCATAAAATAAGAGAAAATTGTATGTCAGAAAAAAATTTGGTTTTGATTGAAATTAGTTATGTGATGGTCCTTATAATTCTTACTAATATAGTGCAACCCCTATTGCTGTAATAATTACGGTTCAACAAGTATTGTAACTATTGTTATTTTCCCATAAAAAACAGAAAAATGGATTTTAAAAAAGGAATTAAGGAAAAAAGGAATGGATTTAACGGTTCTGGTTGAAGTCCGTCTGTTATGGTCCTTGTCGTTACAAAATAGTGCAAACCCCATTCCTGTAAAAATTACGATTCACAAGTTAATGCAACTTTTGTGATCTTACCGATTAAATATCATTGTTACTCTCATTGCTTACCCATGATTAAGGTTGTTGACAAGCTAATGGGAGAAAATATATGTCAGATTTCTGATACCATTTATTTATTACTTACCTTATATTGAATACTCCATTAACTGAATTGATTTATTCATGCAAGAAGACACTTCAATCTTTTTTATTCGGAATCACAAAGGTCCCTCTAGTGTTAATTTAAAACCAGACATGACTAAAAAAGCCCCAGGTATTTATTATGTTGTATTTCATGTAGCTATCTTTACTGTAGCCGATCTTCGCAAATTTTAATTTTTTTATAGTTCTAAATTGTTACAGCTGGAAGGATCCCCACCAATCACTCCCGGTGAAGTGAGGGAAGTGTTGAGAAGATATTACTCTACCCAACTCCATCCTTGGGGAACCTTCACGTGCAACCTAGACACTGCCGTCTTCAACAAGATCCTGGCCTGTTGACACATGATTGTTAACCTTTATTTTATACCTTCTACCTTCATGAACCAGTGTAAATATTGTAAACAATTATTTAAAGTATTTTACTATGACTTGTTTTTTATAATTTATAATTGTAATTTCCCACATGTAGACCATCACAGATTGGAGAAGTAACAAAACATGCAATAAGGTCTCCTATGATTATAGTAGTACCAGTACCATGGCGCATATGATAATTATTCAAGCATTCACCTAGTAAGTTTAGAACTTTAGAAGTGTATCAAGATGACCAGACGGTGGTCTATACGCTGCTACTACCAACAGCTTGATGTTAAAGTTAATAGTCACAGATACAGCAGCCACCTTCTTCAACAAACTCACTGCAGTGTAGAAGCTCACAATTAATGTCAGGTTGGCACCATATACCTGATCCTCCTCTCCTCCAAAATTTCCAACATTGTTATAGCTGATCTGCAGAGTGATGATTTGCAGCCATAGTTATTCAGTTTTGAATCAACAATTTCATTGCTGTTTAGAAAATGTTCGGTCAGACATTTGACGACTGGAGACTCATCCCCTATTAATAACTCGAGCTCGTCCGTCTTAGAAAAGAGGCTTCTTATGTTTTGGTGGAGAAATTTTATACTCAAACGCTGATTCCTAATCCTCGGCTGAGGAAAAGTGCCCAAGGGACCCTGGGAGGGTTTCAGGCTTCTCCTAAAAAAGATTTGCCAGAAGTTTTGTTAAGGCTAGTTTCCCCTTATGGTTCAAGTGTAGTCCGTGCCGGATGTATAGTTGACGGGAAAAAGAGTTAACATGCATGAATGTAACATTTTTGTAAGTGTGTGAAAGAGATATTAATTGTGAATGGACTGAGGATATGGCACTATTTAAGGAAGGTTTGTTATGTCTGTTTGGTATACCTCACTAAAGAAAGAACTCAATATAGAATCAAAATCGTCACAACATCCAGAGTTAACAATATTGTTTATGCCACCGTCCCACCGACAATAACATCAACACTTTCCTTGTCAAAGGACTCTATCTTTATTTTCACTAGCTAATACCTGTTCCATCTTAGCATTAGGAATGACAGTACTAGATACATTAAATTTACTGTTTAGGCCAAAGTCATAAGTTATAATGTTTGCGGCATTTATAGCATACTGTTGCCATAAATTTTAATACATGGAGTTTTTGTTGAAATGGGTGTATAGGGAGCTACAGGTAAGGTTTTTTGTAAGGTTTTTTAGCGATTTTGGAAGAGGTGACCGTGAAATGGTTTCGTTTGTTCTTTTTGTTTGGATTTTGATGCTTCACAGTTATCCTGGAGTTATGGCGGGATTTATGGTAGGATTGTACTGGGCTTGTGTTCTCATGTGGAAGTTTCTTCTGTATGGTTGCCTGGGCTGGTTATTTTGACACTTCTTTAACCTGAGAACATATATTGATTGTTAGTTACACATATATGTTTAGAGTATTTTTGATGTTTCTTTGTAGGTATGTTTAAGTTAGTTTGTGTTCCATGTAAAAGAAGGATATCAATCTAAAAATAGAATTGAAAAGTTTCACTTCAGCTGTTTACTTTCATAACAGCCATAGTTTCATTTCATAACAGCATAGTTTTTCTCATAACAACACGGGTAACGGCCCAATGAGCTTCGAGGATTGAGGGAAAAGAAGTAAAATTGTAATGCTTCGAACGTCAACTAATCAGCTGATCAGTTGAAAATTTAAATTGTTGATCTTATGATCTTACTTGTTCCTGTTGACACTCGCGTATTCTTAACCTAAGTTGGTGGAAGTTAAAGGAAGGTAGATTAAACTGTTTTAAAAATGTCAGTTAGTGAAAATGAAGTTGACGAGATGGAAATGAGAGCACAAACTGCTTATAATATTCGATGCTGATTGCTGAGATCTAAAAAATTAAATGCAATATTACCCTAATTGTAGGCTACCTGATACAGTATTTATAGTAAGAATGCTGCTAACAGAACCTATTCCCTGAAAAAGGTAACTTATTATTTAACGAAGTTTTACAAACACGTAATTACATGAAATCAGCTGATTATACAATAAGTCGTTGCATCACTTTCAGTGGCAACGACAATAAACGAAAACATAACCTCTCTAAGAAGTTATGAGTAGTGATTGTTAGTAAGTAAAAACAGATTGTTAGTAATTAAAAAACTGTCGTAGGTAAAGTAGTGTACGCAACTCGCGTTAATAGTCTTTACGACACTCGTAGAAGTTTTTAAGGCACGAGCCTTCCTTAAATTTTCTACTCGTGTCGTAAAGACTAACTTAACGCAATCGTTGCGTAAACTACTATTACTTAATCCCCAAATTACAATTTAGAAACAGATCTGAATTTTGATGTTCAACAACACATATCAAAGTCAAACTAGCAAACTCCTCAAATTGCTGGGTCAAACTTTCAATGTTTATTTTTTGTATACATTTTTACTTTTTCCCCCTTATTATACATAGTATATGGAGAAAGTAAATTTTATTTGCACATAACATTCTTTACATATGTTGGTACATACAGAACAGTTGTGTTACAGTGTGTTTTAGCCGTTCAAATTCTGAACAAAATTGTATAACTCCCATTCCTGTTAAAATTACGTTCAAAAGTTATTGTACATTTTGTTATTTTCCCAATAAAATCCATGGAAAAACGGAAAAAATAGATTTTCGGAAAAAACAGACTATGATTGAAAATTGTCTGTTATTTTCCTTACAATTATAAACTAAATATTTTAACCCCTCATTCCTGTAAACATTAAGGACTTTTTGCAACTTGTTGACAAGCTAATGGGAGAAAGTATGTGTCAGTCAGATTGCTGACACCGTTTTATTTATTTTACCTTCCAACGGTCAAGAACCAATTTACAATGGTATACAATGATGACTTAATCTCTTAAACATTAACTTACATACAATAGTTATTTAGTGCAACTAGTGTTCTCAAGTGAAGCGATTGCACTTTGCACTCGAGTTGCAGTTGCACATTATATTTTTCCTACAGTTACCATAAAACAAATAAATTGGTAAAAGAAACTTGCCTTCACGTTGCAAATCTGGAGTTAGACAAAGTAATTAGAGTGAGACAATGTTAACATTGTCTCACTGATGAGCGAATTGGCCACTTTCGTGCCTTCGCGTTGCAAATCTGGAGTCACTGATGAGCAAATTGTCCACTTATTTTTGCTGGGTCTGACTTAGGGGAGGTACGAATGAGGCATTAGTTCAAAATTCCTCCGTGAACAGCGCTGTAGTAGAGAGCACTTTGGCAATGAAGGTTTACTAATACTAATCGCAAAAATCGTTCTGTTCATAAAATAAAATTATAAATGCCTCAAATTCAATTTTATAATTTTTAAAATATAAAATTAAACTATCATAACCTAACCGAACTAACCAAACTTGCTGATAATTAAATAATATAACAAATGTTTAGTAATGAAAAAATAATTCTGTTTATTAAATAAAACTAGAAATTGCTAAATTAAAATTTATAATGACTTATAATAAAATTAAACTGTCATAACCGAACCAAACCAACCAAACTTGCTGATAATGAAAATATCTTGCACAAAAAGTTAGTGCTATCAGCGAGATTCGAACCCGGGACCTTCAGCATATCAGCCCGGCACGCTGACCACTAGACCACCGAGGCCGATGGCCACTGACCGTATTGTTTCGGTAATGGCATTCCTTCAGCTAATAAGAAGTCCACAGCTGTCATCGTAGCCTCTTCTGTACCTCCCCTGAGTAAATACCATTTTTGCTTTCTCAAATCAGTGAGAGAACATGTGTTAGGTAAAGGTAACTGTAGGAAAAAATAATTTTATAAATTTTAAATTGATCAATTACTAGGTGGCGTTTGCAGAGGCATCCACAAAATTGAGCGGAGTCATCAAGGGTTCATATTATATTGTTTTTGTCATACTAAAGTAAAAACAGTAGTTTTGAATGCATGCGTTGCGGGTCTAAAGTAGCATTTTTAATATTTAGGGAGTAAAAATGGTTTTTTAGCCTCTATGGAGTAAAAATCAGCTGTTGTCAACTCAGTTGTAAATTTCGATTGTAAACAATTGCATGTATCGAAAATTCAATATGTATCGATTCCTGCTTCGTAATCATTTTAACATACAGTCTACAGTCTCTTCCCGTAGCATTTTAGCATCGCAGGTACATTAATCCATTCCCAAACTCAACACTGCTCACCTTTACTACTTCCTTCACCACACCCTACGTCGTGGACCTGTTTCCCTCTCTTCCCATAGCATTTTAGGATTGCAGATACATTAATGTATTTGCCAAAGACAGTTCCCACACTCGGCACTGCTAGCCTTACTACTTTCTTCACCATTTACTACGTCGTAGACCTGTTTCCTTCCTTTCTCGTAGCATTTTAGTATTGAAGATACATTAATCTAACTGCCACAGACGGATCTCACACTATGCTGATGCTCATATTTTACTACTTCCTAAGCCACTTCCTACGTCGTGGACCTGTATTCATCACTTTCCATAGCATTTTAGTATTTTAGATACGTTACTCTAATTGCCACAAACATTCCCACACTCCGTACTGCTAGACTTTACTACTTCTTTCACCATTTCCTATGTCATGGGCATGCTTCTATTCCTTCTCATAATATTTCAGCATTGCAGATACAATAAAACTGCTACAAACGGTTTCCAGTTACCATACTCCACACTAGGAGGATTAAACATTAAGGAGAGGGCACGCGAATAGGAATACACGTGTTGCGGTGAAGCCAGCTTTAGCAGAACACTAGAGGGGCACGCGGAGCCGTAGAGTGGCAAAAAGCCTCGGCTATAACATGGGAGAGATAGGGAAAAACGCGACGCGCGCTGTTTCGAATTAAAATTGCCGCTAAACTAAAACACCCGTGTTATTCACCGATGGCATTCTTAAAGTAAATTAAATTTCCTATCGAACGGTGTCAATCATTCCTATAAAAACTATTATTTATTATTTATTATTGAAGATCAAAGTTGAATGAATTGACCTGGACTTTGAACATATGATTACTATAATTACGTTTTTGAAAAAAATATGATGTATCTACAAAAA